CCGCCCTCTCCTCGCGCACCGCGGCGCCCTGCAGGACCCTCCCCGCGGCCATGCCGTTGAAGCAGTTGGGGAGCTGGGCCTCGATGTCGCCCATGCCCCGCGCCCACGCGTTCGACAGCGCCCTCGCTGGCTTCCCCGTGAAGCCGCGGGTGACCACCGTGGGCGCCGCCCGCGGCCCGCGCTGCAGCAGCGCCCGCTTGTGCGCCCGCGGCGCGCCGCACTCCACCTCGGCAGGAAAGATTAGCTCGGGCGTGTCCCCTTACAGGGGGATTTCGGCAAACAAGAAGAAATACCCCACGAATGCTCCAAGATGATCAAACATACTCAACAAATAGCCCCCCGGCTATTTTTTTACTATTTTTGAATTTTCCTCCTGTAGAGGGACAGGCCCGACTTACAGGAAACATCAACTGGCTCTGAGTGAAGGACGAAAGACCCAGGTACAGGGAAGGAGGAGGAGGAGGAGGAGGACGAAGAGGAGGAGTAGGAGGAGGAGGACGAGGAGAAGGACCCCCTGCCCCTCCAACCTATTGTGGTGGTGCTGGTGGAAAACAGGCCCGTCAGGCTCTGAGCGAAAGCGGGTGCTGGACCCCCGGGGGCGTGCCCCCGGGACCGGCTTTTCTCCTCCCGAGAGCCGCTTCGGGATTCCCAGAAGGCCGCGTCGGGACAGACCGCGCGGCGGCCTCGAGATCCCGAGAGAGGCCTCGCCGCGTGGGCCGCCGCACGGGTTTTGGGAGGCCTCAGACGCCCAGAGGGCATCCTCGGAAAACGACCCGGGCCCCGAGACCGTGCGGAGACCCCGGATCCCCACTGACTCACCACACGGTGTGGTCAACACGCTGTTGTGAGCGGTTTCTTTTATTCGGCGCTTCGACGTTGGGCGGCGGAAGGGGGGGGAGGGGGGGGGGGTCAAGCTAGGTGCGCTCGCGTCATATCTGACATCCTACCCCTCCCTCCTATCCCTTACCATGGCGCAGATCCCCTCTCTACTCGCTCAGTCGGATGTCGAGCAGGGCAATGATCCCGAAAGGGTACGCGATGCATTGTAGAGCACGGCGTGGCATGGCGTAGAAGAGCACCGCAAAGCGTAGTATGAACCTAGCATTGCATTGCATGCCGTGGCATGGCACGGGAAATGACGCCAGCGCTGCAGCGGGAGCACGAGTCGAAACGAGCGGAAGCACGGAAATGAGGCCAGCGCTGCAGCGGGAGCACGATTCGGAACGAGCGGGGCCCGAAAATGAGGCCGGCGCCTCAGCGAGACGCGGAACGAGCGGGGCCCGAAAATGAGGCCGGCGCCTCAGCGAGAGCAGCATTTTGAAAAAAATGCAGGCGAAAACCCAACTCCGGGGAAACCTGTGTAAAAAAAACAATACGCGGGGGGGGGGTCGGCCACTTTCAAACCGTCATCAGGGGAAGAGGGAGAGTAATATTGATATTGAGTAATTGTCTAGCTCCAGACCTCTGCTGAGTGCGTGCTCGAAACAGCGGCCAAAAACAGCCAAGATCTACTCCAATGGGGTTCGGAGAGGGGAGGTTCTGGGGCCCGCGCCGATCGGCAAAAAAATGAATAGAAAAACGGTCACGTTTTGGAGCCCCCGACTCGTTTTCTGACGCTCCCAGGGCCCTGGTAGGGCCCGGGAACCCGAACACTGTGAAACACTGAAGACCCGTTGCTGTCATGACCCGTTTGCTGCATGCCGATCCCGCCGTCGTCAGGAAGGCCGTGCCTGGAGAAACCAAAAAGTACGGCTACTGCAACGCCCCATGTCTCTCCAGGGGCGCGTTCTGACCAGGACTTCGACGCGAATCCAGACGTGGCGACGAGGGCCTCCGCGCTTGCCAGGAAAAAAAAGGGGAAGAGTAGCGGCATTGGTACCTTTTTGAGAAGGGACCGACCGTCCCGGCATTCCTATCGGCCTACTACGACATGTCCCTCGAAGCCAGGGGTGTTCTGAAAACAAGAACAATGTTCTTAGAACATATACCCCATACGTTGAAACACAACAGTCTCAACCAGAAATGTTTCAATAACATTTCGCGCAAACCACAACAAGTTCTTCGAATCTACTTTGGTCCGCCTATAGGCGAGCCATGAGCATCGTTTATCCGATCCCCAACCCCAGCGGCGTGGCCTGGGCCCCACAAGCACAATTTCCACCCGAGATGGTGATATAGGTCGTCCCTTTCGGGCTTCGAAGGGTGTATCCCCAACTGGGGTGGTAATTTGTTGGGGGTCTCGAAGGGTATGGGGATGGGGATGGGGGTCGGTTAAACGATACCGAAGCCAGGACGCTTCGCCACTTCTTGACCCTTTCCCCTCTCAGTGCCCAATTGCGCCGCGGAGGCGCCGGCCACTAGCGCCGCCGCCACGTCGGCGCCGTCCATGAGGCCGCCGGCCGCTATCACCGGCACGCTGACGGCCCCGGCCACGGCGCGCAGCAGGCACAGGGCGCCCGCCGTGGCGTCAGAGTCGCAGCTGCCCGCGTCCGCAGAAGAAGAACAAGAGCGGCATCAATCATGAGAGGGGAGGAGGAGGAGGAGGAAGAGGAGGAGGAGGAGGAGGAGGAGGAGGAGGAGGAGGAGGAGGAGGAGGAGGAGGAGGAAACCACGGGCTGAGGAGGGGCGCCGCCGCCGGGGGGCCGCGGGGGGGACGTGTCGTCTCGTTGCCCCCCTCCCCTCGCGGCCAGCCCCACAGTCCGGGGCTCGCGCGCGGGGCGCGCGCCATCGCGCGGCCCAGCCGCACTTCGCCCGCCAGGCGCGCGGCCTGGTGACCAGCAGCCGCTGCGGAGCGGCCCGAGCACCGCCAGCCACGCGGCGCCGCAACACGCCAGAGCCCGCCCGGCACAGGCGGGAGCGCGCTGCCAGAGCGCAGGCGCGGCAACTGGTGCGCCTGGCAGACGCCCGACAGCTGCTCTCGGAGCACCACTCCGCCCCGCCCGCGCCAATGCCGAAGGAGGGCAGAGGCCGCAGAGGCAGTGGCAAGGGCCGAGGAGCGGAGCCTGGCGACGACAGCCAGCCGCCCTGGAGGCGGGCTGGAGGTGCCGCCCCAGAGTGGCAACAGGGAGGCTGGCATGCTGGAGGCGCCAGCTCGCCGCCCTGGCAGCAGCAGAAGTGGCAGCAAGACTGGAGCTCGGCAGCGGCCGACCAAGGACGGCGTGGAGGCGCCAAGCAGAGTGAGCAGCCCAGGACGACCAAGGGGGGCCAGGCCAGCTCCAGCAAGGCAGATCAGAAAGCACAGAAAGTGATTGACGCGGTGGCTGCCTGCACACTGGACGAGGCCACCTCGCATCCGAAGTGGCAGGCGCCGCCAGCGGACCGCTCAGACATTCAGCAGTTCCTCCGCTGTGCCGACCAGAGGTTGAGGAAGCTGGGCGACCTGGTCATCGCCAAGCAGGCGGCTGGCGACTGCACCAAGGAGCAGCTGCTGGAGATCTCCGCGATCAAGTACCAGAAGCTGGTCACGCGGAGGCCGAACGACCAGTTGCAGGTGCTCTGCAAGCGGCGCAAGAGCCTGAAGTCAGAGGTCACCACCCTGGAGACCAAGGTGAGCGAGGTTCGGAACGACCTCAAGTGCAAGCAGCAGGAGCTGAAGCAGGTCGAGTCCAACATCGCCGACGTCCGCGCGGTGCTCGCCGACGGTGGCGCCGCGGACGACGAGGGCGACTGGGGCACGGACGGGTTCGGCCTGGCGCTGAGCTGGGATACGTTCCACAAAGCCGTGATCGACAGGCGCCTGAGCAGCGAGGCTCCTGGTGGTGCTCCGCCAGCTTGGCCAGGGGGCGCGCCTGGACACGCACCACGCTCGAGAGCCAGCTCGGCAGGCAGTGCAGCCAGAGGCTTCGCAGATCAGGTTGCCAAGGCGAGCGCGGAGCGAGCGCATCACCAGCAACGCCATGCCGAAGCCGAACAGGACTTCGCTGCCGAGCTGGCGGAGGTCAGGCGGGTGGCCAGGGAGCAGGCGCTCCGCCACAACGGCGAGCAGGCGAAGCCCAGACTGGCCTTGAAGGAGAAAGCAGAGCAGCTGCAGCGCGCCAACGAGGCGGAGAGCGCAGCGCAGCAGCTGCAGCAGCAGCAGCAGCACAAGGCCCTCCGGCATGATATCAAGCAGCAGTACTCGGCGCAGCTCGAGTTCACGACGCAGATGGAGGTCAGGCTTCGCAACCACGACGCCGCCTACAGCCGCGTCAAATCTGAGGCCGAGGCGGAGGCCCACCGCGCGAAGCGACTGCTTGAGCAGCTCGAGTGCGTTCGTGCGGAGCACCGCGCGCAGCCACAGCCGCAGGAGAAGGTCTACCAAGACCTGAGGCGGGCACGCGCTGAGGTGCAGGAGGCATGGCAGCAGGCCCAGCATGAGCACACCAAGGCGGCAGCGGCTGCCGGCGCGCATCGGCAGCAGCTTAGCAGGCAGGAGGTGGTCATGGAAGAGAGGCTACAGGAGGCCAAGAAGGACCACATGCTGGAGCTGGAAGCCGCAACCGACTCAGCCAGGGCCCAGGCGGTCGCCCAGGCCCAGGCGGTCGCCAAGGCCAAGGGCAAAGCAGCCCTACCGCCGGCAGAGGCAGCCAGGCTGCACAGAATCATGCAGACCGCAGCCAGACAGCAGGACCTGCTGAAGCAGACCAGAAGCGAGTTCGAGGCAGCCGAGGCCCACATCCACGAGCTCCAGCAGCACTCCAAGCGTGAGGCGGGGTCAGCACAGCGCGCAGAACAGCTTGCCTATCTGGAGGCATCGGAGCTCAGGAGCGCCAGCGAGGAGCGGCAGGTCCCGCTTGAGGTGCAGGCCCTGCAGCATGCCCTGCTAAGGACCAGAGCAGAGGAGGAGGAGATGGCGAAGGCCAGCCTGAATGATAAGGAGGCCATGCGCGCCGAGCTTGAGGGCAGCGCGGAGCAGGTACGATCGCGCCTCACCCGTCAGGTCATGATAGAGGAGGCGCACGCGTACGACTTGCAGTTGCACACCGAGAGCCTGCGACAGGAACTGGGCAGCTATACGATGCAGCTGAGCGAGCAGAGGTCCAGCGCAGAGGAGCAGGAGCAGGCCTTGGAGGAGGAGCTCGCCCAGGCCCTCACCTTCAGGCTCGCCAGCATGGAGGAGGCTGCCGCCATGGAGAGCTTCGCCAGCCAGCAGAACTGACAGGGAGGAGGCCATTCACCTCTCTCTGCAAGACAGCCTCCAGCGCTCCCGCACGCTGCAGCTCGAGCTCAGCGCCATTGCGCAGAAGGAGGAGCAGGGCGCATCCGAGACAGAGGAGCTACAGCTAAGGCTACAGAGCCTAGAGACCATTGCAGCCAGCAGAGAACGCGAACGCAAAGCCATGGTCGACATGTACGCCGAGATGAGGGACTACGGCCAGGACGGCTACGACTTCACGAAGCGAGCAGCTCATCACCTAGTCCAAGGAGGCCACCTCCCAACATCCCAGGAGTCCCTGGGCGACCACCAGGAGGCCGCCGACATGTACGAGAAGGCCAGAGGCATAGCCGAGGCGGCCCCCGCTCCAGCGACGCCGCCCACCGTGCCCCCCCCCCCCATCTTGCGCAGCCGAGGAGCGCCTAGCCAGCAGGGGCCGCGGGCAGAGCAGCGCCTCGCCCCGGAGGCCCACCTCCGCCAGGTCAGCCAGGTCAGCAGCTCGCCAGTCCGATGAAGACGAGACAGCACGCAAAGAACGTGATAGGTCCAGGAGCCCTGACAGGCCCGACCCGCACGAGGAGGCAGAGAGGTACGAGCGCGAGCCAGAGGGGCAGCGTAAGCATGATGAGGAGGCGAAAGCGCAATGGGAAGCGGAACAGGTGGAAGAGGAGCTGGAGTCGGCCGTGAGGGGCTACGAGGCGGGGGAGATCGACAGATACTACTACGAGGCGGCTCCCAAGAGCCAGTACGGCCCTGGAGGTTCACCAGAATCCCACGTGGCTGACGACTGCTCAGAGCACGCGCTGATGCACTACCCCACCAGCTGGCCGCCCTGGAGCCAGGACCAGCCAGCAGCGGAAGAGGAGGAGGAGATGAGGGGAGCAATGCAGCATGATGCAGACACGGACCCAGCCTCCACCTCAAGGGCCAGTTCGATACCCGCAGAGCAGGACAACCCTCCCACTCCGACTGCATCTCAAGTGATCTACATCCCAGCGTCGCCAGCGCCTTCAAGTGAGAGCTCTCTCACGCCCACGGCCCCCATCGGGCCAGAAGATCAGGGCGACCAAGGCGGCAGAGAGGGTGCAGACGGCTTCGTGCTGACCCCGCCTCCTGCCTCTCACCAGAGCGCGGAGGCGGCAGCTGCCAGCATCGAGAGGCAGTGCGAGGGCATCGACATCCTCACGCGCCAGCATACCTCAGGTACCGCCGCGGCCGCAGCCCTCGAGGAGGCCTTCGGACCTGCGCCAGTTTTCCCAGGAGAAGACATCAGCCAGGCCTTCAAGGGTCAGCGAGTAGACTCGGGAGAGACAGGCATAGCACGTTTTCGTGGCCGAGCGGCCCGCAGGAGAGATGAGGCAAGGGCCGCAGCAGCCCCCCCCCCCCTCCTGCAGCACCTGGAGCCGAGGAGCAGGCAGCAGCAGCATCCGCTGAACCCCGCCATGGGGTTGAGGCGGACTAGCAGCGCCGCCAGGCACCAGGATACGCATGACAGAATTCATCGCCAGGAGGCGGCCGATGAGTCCGACTGGGCAGAGCACGACGGGTGTGGGCTTCCTTCACGCTCTCCGATCAGTTCGACGTCATCGATCTCCTGTGCAGACGCGGGGCGAGCCGCTGGGGCCCCTGGGCTACAGCACGGCAGTGGGGTCCTCCACTACGAGGCTCAACCTACCAACCCTCAGCGGCTCGAAAGCACGGCGAGTCCTGGAAATACTTTGCCACAGCCGTCTAGCAAGACATGTACCAGCAGATGCTGCGACAGTTTCGCCTCTTAGTGCGACAAGCCCCAGGAGTTCAGGGTCTCGAGGGGCCACGACTCCAACTTGGGATGCGACCGCAGCTGGCGCGCGCAGCGGGAGGACGGCGCCCAGACGCAGCAGCCGGCAACCAGAGTGCTCCCAGTCACCAGGGTCCCGAGGGGCCGCTGTGACACCACCGCGGCCGACACGTAGGCCGCCCGCCGCGTCTCGAGGGGCGCCAGGCGGTACCACAGGAGGCACGCTGCCATGGAGGAGTGATGCCGACCACGACCAGCCAGTATCCCAGGTTACAAGCCACCGAGATGGCTGCAAGGATGCGTTACCGGCTGCCCTTGCACGAGGGACGCCTCCCTCCGCCATTCGAGTCCACGAGCTTGAGGACGCTGACAGCACCTTTCTCGATGGCCAAAGCTTGAGTGGCAGCGAGGCCGACGACGGTACAGACCACCTGAGTGGGAGATGGAAGCGAATGCGAGCAGTCGCCGCCTTCCGATCGGCCCAGCGGCGAGCACGGCGCGCACGGCGCGCTACCGAGCGCCACAGTGGCATCGATGACAGCAACACTCACAACCAGTACCGAGCCCTGATCACGGCTCACGGACA